TGCACATCCTTCTAGTTGCTGTATGTGGGACTCGGCCTCAGGATGAACGGAGAAGTGGTGCCTCGATGCGCACCCGGGATCCGAACCTGGGCCACCAGCATCGCAGCGCGTGCACTTAACCACCAAGCCACAGGGCCGGCCAGTGATTGTGATTTTAGGAGAGAAATTATCCTCGACCTTCAGATGCCTGTCCTTGAACTCTTCTGGTATTATAGGCTAAGCAGTGTTCTTTTTAGTGGCTTATCACTTTTGTCCCTAGGGCTGCCTGCTTGATAACCATATCCATAGCTTTTCATGATTTTGGCCTGTCTGGCTGCCACTCTGAACTTATTGTTCATTCCAATCATTGTGATGATTTGACTTTTGATGACTGAGCACCATCATTTGGTCTCACACTTCCAATTAAAAGATGAATAAGTTCTAGGGATCTTTGGACACCATAGTGATTAAAGCTAATAATGGTGTATTATATACCTGAAAGTTGCTAAACAAATAGATCATAAATGTTCTCACCACAAAAAGGAAATGGTAATTATGTGACATGATGGAGGTATTAACTAATGCTATAGTGGGAATCATATTACAATATATAGGCGTATCAAATTTACACATTATACACCCTAAACTTACACATTGTTATATTTAAATTATATCTCAGTAATACTTAAAATTTTTTTATATTTTGATGTTACATGATAGTACTATTTCAATTCAAATAAAAATAACTGTGATCACAAATAAAGAAATAAACAAATAAATTCTCAACAATAAATGATTACATTGACTATGTTATTTTATTTAAATAAATGAAATAAATATATTCAGGGAAAATGAGAGGAAAACTAAAAGAGTTGCCAGACTTCAGATAAATATTTCTTTAATAAAAAAGTCACTTACTAAAACTTACATATAAATAAATGAATAAATACTGACATTGGGGGTAGAACAATTATTTCTAAAATGTTTACTATTTTGGTCAATATAGAATGACTTCTCACTAAAAAGTCACTTCTCAACCTCCCATCCTTGTCTCTTGAACCTCACATCTTAATTTTTATTTGATACATTATTACTTTGTTTATAACATACACATCTTGTTAAGGACCACTATTTCTAGTACCGTTTAGCCTTAGTTTGGTATTTATAAGGATATAAATTTGTCTTTCTGTTTTACCTCAGTCTTCCTATTCCTGAAAGTCTTGTTTTTATTAATTTGTTCTCTGTCAAATATCTTGTTTATGTGGTTTGGAGCTTTTCTTTTTGTGGTTTCCTTGTTTTCCTGAGATATATCCAGAGGTACTTATTCCTTAAATTCTTGCATATTAAGAAAAGCCTACCTTGTGAGCACAAAGATAGAAACCTAGAAATAATTCAGGTGGATAAGGAGAGAGAACTAATATTTTTAAAAAATGAAGAAATACTTCAAGAAATATCTGACCCAATTAGGAAAAGTAACATAAGGATTATAGGTATCCCAGAAGGAGAAGAGAGGTAGAAAGGAGCAGAGAGCTTATTGAAAGAAATAATAGCTGAGGAATTCCCAAACCCAGGGAAGGAACTGGACATGCAGGTACATGAAGCTAATAGAACTCCTAATTACCTCAATGCAAAAAGACCTTCTCTAAGGCATATAATATTAAAACTTTCAAAAGTCAAATAAAAAGAAACAATATTAAGGGCAGCAAAAGACAAGAAAATAACCTACAAGGGAACCCCCTCAGGCTTTCAATGGATTTCTCAGCAGAAACCCTATAGGCTAGGAGAGAGTGGAATGATATATTCAAAATACTGAAAGACAAATCTTTCAGCCAAGAGTACTATATCCAGCAGTATTGTGTCCTTCAGATTTGACAGAGAAATAAAAGCTTTCTCAGATAAACAAAAGGAGAGGGACTTCATTGTCACTAGACCTGCCTTTCAAGAAGTGATAGAAGAAGCCCTCCTACCTAAAACAAAAAACCAAAGGTTTACAAATCTTTGAGCAAGGAGATAGATAGACAGAATTTAAGAATTGAAGCTCTCTATCAGAATAGGACTGCAAGCACTTAATTATAACATAAAGGATAAAGGGAAAGAAAACATCAAAAACAACAACAACTACTTCAATTTTGTCACAAACTCAAAACACAAAGAATAATAATTTGTGACAATGATAACATAGAAGGAAAAGAGGGAAAAAATGGAACCTGCATAGGCTAATGGAGATAAAAGGCTATCAGAAAAGGGACTATCTATGCACGTAACATAGGCGCACCAACTATTAACTAAACAACTAAAGGTAGAAATTGACAGCAACACAATAATAGTAGGTAACCTTAACACCCCACTTACATCAATGGATAGATCATCAGACACAAAGTCAACAGGAAAACAGTGGCTTTAAATGAAACATGAGATCAGATGGACCTAGTAGACATATATAGAACATTCCATCTAAAAGCAGTAGAATACACATTCTTCTCAAGTGCACATAGTACATTCACAAAGATAGGCAATATATTGGGAAACAAAGAAGTGTCAATAATGTAAGAAGATTTAAATTGTATCAAGCATCTTTTCTACCCACAATGTATGAAACTAGAAATCAACTACAAGAGAAAAGGTGGAAAATCAAAAATATGTGAAGGCAAAACAGTATACTACTGAAAACCTATTGGATAAATAAGAGTTCAAAGGAGAAATAAAAAAAAGCCTGGTGACAATGAAAATGTAAATACCATATGATCTCACTCATAAGTAGAAGATAAAAACAACAAAAAAACACATAGACACAGAGATTGGATTGGTGATTACCAGAGGGGAAGGGAGGAGGGAGGGGGGCAAAAGGTATGATTAGGCCTATGTGTGTGGTGATGGATTGTAATTAGCATTTGGGTGGTGAACATGATGTAATCTATGCAGAAATAGAAGTATAATGATGTGCACCTGAAATACATACAATATTATAAACCAATATTACCAAAATAAAATAAAAGAAAACATAAGATTCCAAAACTTATGGGATGCAGCCAAAATGGTACTAAGAGGGAAGTTTGTAGCAATACTGCCGCACCTTAACAAACAAGAAAAATTTAAATAAGAAATGTTACCTATACCTAAAAGAACTAGAAAGAGAAGAACAAACAAAGCCCAAAGTCAGTAGAAGGAAGGAAATAATAAAAATCAGAGTAGCATAAATGAAATAGAGACTAAAAAAACAATAGAAAGGATCAATGAAACTAAGGGCTGATTCTTCGATAAGATAAACAAAACTGGCAAACCCTTAGCCAGAGTTACCTGTGAGAAAGGAGAGAAGACTCAAATAAATAAAATCAGAAATGAAAGAGGAAAAATTGCAATGGGCACACAGAAATATAGAGGATAATAAGAGAATACTATGAAAAAAATTAGATAACTTAGAAGATATGCAAAAAATTGGATAACTTAGAGAAATGGATAAATTCTTAGAATCATACAGCCTCCAAAAACTGAATCAAGAAGAAATGGAGAATCTGAATAGACTAATCACAAGCAAAGAGATTGAAACAGTAATCAAACACCTCTCAAAAAGCAAAAGTCCAGGACCAGAAAGGTTCTCTGGTGAATTCTACCAAACATTCAAAGAAAATTTAATACCCATCTTTCTCAAATTCTTCTGAAAAATTGAAGAGGATGGGAAGCTTCCTAACTGATTCACCAGGCCAACATGACCCTGATAGCAAAACTAGACAAGGCAACACAAAAAAGGGAAATTACCTGCCAATATCGCTGATGAACATAGATGCAAGAATACCTTGACAAAATATTAACAAATTAAATACAAGAATACATTAAAAGGATCATACGCCGTGATCAAGTGGGATTTGTTCCAGGGATGCAGGGATGGTTCAACATCAGCAAATCAATTAACTGATATACCACATTCAGAAAATGAAGAATAAAAATCATGGGATCACCTCAAAAGACTCAAAGAAAGCATTTGACCAGATCCACCATCCATTTACAGTAAAAACTCTCAATCAAACGGGTATAGAAAGAAAGTAACTCATCATAATAAAGGACATATGACACACCCACAAATAACATCATACTCAAAGGTGAAAAAATGAAAGCTATTCCTCAGAACAGGAACAAGACAAGGATGCTTACACTCACTACTCTTATTCAGCACAGTACTGGAAGTTTTTGCCAGAGCAATTAGGGAAGAAAAAGAAATAAAAGGGATCCAAAATGCAAATGAAGACGTGAAACTGTCACCATTTGCAGATGACATGATTCTATATATAGGAAACTCTAAGGAATCCACCAAAAACCCATTAGAAATAATCAATGAATACAGTAAAGTTTCGGGGTACAAAAATCAACACACAAAAGTCAGTTGCATTTCTATACTCTAATAACGAACTGGCAGAAAGAGAAATCAAGAACACAATCCCATTTACAATCTCAAAAAAGAATAAAATATCTAGGAATAAATTTAAACAAGGAGGTGAAAGATCTATACAGTAGAAACTACTAGACATTGTTGAAAGAAATTGAAGAAGACATAAAGAAATGGAAAGACATTCCATGCCCATGGATTGGAAGAATAAACATAATTAAAATGTTGATATTACCTAAAGCAATCTACAGATTCAATGTAATCCCAGTCAGAATCCCAATGACATTCTTCTTGGAAATAGAAGAATCCTAAAATTTTTATGGACTAACAAAAGACCACGAATCACCAAAGCAGTCCTGAGAAAAAAGAATAAAGTTGGAGGCTTCACAGTCCCTGACTTTAAAATATACTACAAAGCTATAGTAATCAAAACAGCATGGTACTAGGAGAAAAACAAACACACAGATCAATGGAACAAAATTGAGAGCCCAGAAATAAAACCACACCTCTATGGACAGCTATCCTTTGACAAAGGAGCCAAGAACGTACAGTGCAGAAAGAGAGTCTCTTCAATAAATGGTGTTGTCAAAATTGGATAGCCAAATGCAAAAGAATCAACATAGACCATTATCTCACACCACACACAAAAATTAACTCAAAATGGATTAAAGACTTGAATGTAAGACCTGAAACCATAAAACTCCAGAAAAAAAATATAGGTAGTATGGGGCCAGACGGGTGGTGCAGCAGTAAAATCTGCATGCTCCACTTTGGCGGCCCAGGGTTCACAGGTCCAGGTCCTGGGCACACACTGATGCACCACTTGTCAAGCCATGCTGTGATGGCATGCCATATATTGTAGAGGAAGATGGGCATGGATGTTAGCCCAGGGCCAATCTTCCTCAGCAAAAAGAGGAGAATTGATATTGGATGTTAGCTCAGGGCTGGTCTTCCTCACACACACACACACATACACACACACACACAAATATAGATAGTATGCTCTTTGACATGAGCCTTAGTAGTATCTTTTTGAATACCATGTCTACTCAGGCAAGGGAAACAAAAAAAATAAACAAATGGGACTACATCAGTCTAAAATCTGCACAGTAAAGGAAACCATGAACAAAATGAAAAGACAACACACCAATTGGGAGAAAATATTTGTAAATTATATATCCCCCAAGGAGTTAATTTCCAAAATATATAGAGACCTCATACAACTCAGCAACAACAAAAAATGAACAGCCCAATAAAAAAAATGGGCAGAGGATGTGAACAGACATTTTTCTGAAGAAGATATACAGGTGACCAACAGGCACATGAAAAGATGTTCAACATCACTAATTATTAGGGAAATGCAAATCAATACTACAATGAGATACCACCTCACACCCGTCAGAAGGGCTATAATGAACAAAACAAGAATTAAGAAGTGCTGGATGGGGCAGGCACCATGTTGTAGTGGTTAAGTGCACGTGCTCCGCTTTGGCAGCCCAGGGATCGCAAGTTCGGATCCCAGGCATGCACCAAAGCACCACTTGTCAAGCCATGCTGTGGCAACGTCCCATATAAAGTAGAGGAAGATGGGCATGGATGTTAGCCCAGGGCCAATCTTCCTAAGAAAAAAAGAGGAGGATTGTCATCGGATGTTAGCTCAGGGCTAATCTTCTTTACAAAAAAATAAAAGAAGTGTTGGAGAAGATGTAGAGAAAAGGGAACCCTCATACACTGCTGATGGGAATGCAAACTGGTGCAGCCACTCTGGAAAACAGTATGGAGGTTTCTCAAAACACTCAATAGACTCTCAATAGAAATACCAGATGATTCAGCGATCCCACTACTGGGTATTTATCCAAAGAACATGAAATCAATACTTCAAAAAGATTTATGCATCCCTCTGTTCATTGCAGAATTACTCACAATAGCCAAGATGTGGAAGCAACTCAAGTGCCCATCAACAGATGAATGGATTAAAAAAAATAGTAAATACACACAATGGAATACTACTCAGCCATAAATAAAGACAAAATTGTGCCATTTGGGACAACACAGACAGACCTTGAGGGTGTTATGCTAAGCAAAATAAGCCAGAGAAAGACAAATACGATAGATAAGGAGAACATATTAGTGTTTACCAGAGGGGGAGGGGATTTGGGGAGGGAAATGGGAGTAAAGGGGCACATATGTATGGTGACAGATAAAAACCAGACACTTGGTTGTGAACACCATGCAATCTATACAAAAACTGATATAGAGATATGTACACTTGACATTTACACAATGTTACAAGCCAATATGAGGGTCTGGTCTAGTGGTATAGTGGCTAAGTTCCCAAGCTCCGCTTCCACAGCCCAGCGTTTGCAGGTTGAGATCCTGGGTGCAGACCTACGCACCGCTTATCAAGCCATGCTGTGGCAGGCGTCCCACATATAAAGTAGAGTAAGGTGGGCACAGATGTTTGCTCTGGGCCGATCTTCCTCACCAAAAAAAAAAAAAAAAGAAGAAGGAAAGCATGTCACTTACTACAATAAAAATGAACCTTGAGGACATTATACTAATTGAAATGAGCCTGTCCTAAAAAGACAAAGACAAATAATGCCACTTATATGAGGTATCTATAGTAGTCAAATTCATAGAAACATCAAATATAATGGTGGTTGCCAGGGTGGGGTGGACGGGGGAAATGTGGAGTTGTTCAATAGTGCCATTTCAGTTTTCCAAGATGAAAAAGTTCTAGAGCTCCATTGCACAATAACGTGAGTATAATAATACTGCTGAAATGTAAACTGAAAAATGGTTAAGATGGTAACTTTTATATGTGTTTTTTACCACAATAAATAAATACATAAATAACAGAAATATTCTTGCCCTATTATCTACTTTAAATTCCACTAAAACTTCAAAAATCAGTATTTCCTTCAAGTTGGTGTGTACACCATTTAACCTATTTTTATTCTTTATTAACTCCATATATTTTGCCTTGTCTCCTAATTAATCACCAACTCTGGGCTCTGATGATTGTTCAAGCAAATAATGATTATCCTAAACTTAACCACCTATATCTATATTCCCAAAGGCACAACAATATCTTGTTCTTATTATTGAAAATCTGATATATTTATACATTTTAAGTTAATGGTTATTACTACTATAAATTTATGAAAGCTAAAGAAGAAACTGGGATGCAAGTATTCAATAGACAAATGATTTCCCAGAACATAAACATTGAGTATGTCAGAAATTATTGATAGTCTTTCTTCAAATGACAAGTTTGATAAATATATCTAATGTTGTATTTGAATCAACTTCCAAATGGTACATAATCCTCTTTTCATATACGAATACAAACTTGACACTCTCAAAATTCATTTCATGTAATGCATCAACATTCAAGATTCAAATTTATTCCTATATACCACTGTATAAGTTTGCCAGGGCTGCCATGGCAAAGTACTACAAGTTGGGTAGCTTAAACAACAGAAATTTATTTTCCCTCAATTCTGGAGGCTAGAAGTCCAAGATCAAAGTGTCAACAAATTTGGATTCTTCTAAGAACTCTCTCCTTGTGTTATAGATGGTTGTCTTCCTCTGGTGTCTTCACATGTTCTCCTGGCATGTGTCGATATTCTAGTCTCCATATAGGGTGGGTACTGTATGACCTCATTTTATCTTAATTACCTCTTTAAATGTCCTATCTCCAAATAAATTCACATCTGAGGTACTGGCTATTAGGACATTTCTGGAGAGGACACAGTTCAGCTAATAAGAACCACAATTTAAAGTATTAAAATAAATTATACATTTTGACAAAGAAATCCAGTAGCAGAGTATGAGTCCTCCAAGTATATACCTATCATCACCCCAATATTAAGAAACACAACAGAGAGAGAAGATATTCTGCTCAAATG